AAATGCAAGCTCCATGCAGAAATATTTTTTGTTTGGTTAAAGGATGTATTCTAAGTACCTAGAATGGAGCCTGGCTGCTAGAGGGGACTTAGTCATATCTGTTGAATGAAAGCATGAATAAATTTTCAAAAGCGATGCCCTTAGAACATTACCACTGAATAAGATGTGACTCCATTAAATGTTAATAATCACCTGTGGCAGATGATCAAGTTTCCTACAGGTGTTTTTAAATAATGTTCTTATCTAAAAGTTATCTTTAATGTAATATGAAAAATTATAGTCCATAAGAAAACCTGGAATATATAACTCAATTTTTAAAACTAATTGCTTTTTTAATTTGTGAAAATAAACAGAAATATCTGAGATAAGTAAATATAAACAGATAAAGCATATGTGGGGGAATCATTTTTTTTCTAATAAATGCCAGAATACAATTCATACATGATTAGGAGAAGTACTGAATTTATGAAGATAGAAGTAATAAACAAAAGCAAAACAGAAATTTTAATAAACTGCAGTTTATTAGCAGCATGACAAGAGAGGCTAATTGATAGTTATTCAATTCTTAGAACTGCGCTTAATCCATAGGAAGACATAATATATTAGCACAGCACAAAAAAAAAACTCTTCTGCTCTATCTAATAAAACAATTACAATACAAACTAATCATTTTTATTCCTAACATGAATATGGCATGATGAACTATTTTCATATTTTTTAGAACTTCCTGCAAACTAACTGCACCAGGAGCACCACCAAAATTAAATCTTAGTAGTAGAGATTGTGAAATACACAGATAATTGCATTGAAAAGTTTTTCAAAGTGTACTTTCATAATGCAAATAGTATTATTTTCATCATGTATAAGTAGAAAACTGTTTTTATAAAGCAAATCTCACCATTCGGAAAGTGTGTTAAAATATTTAAAAAACAGAGGCATGAGCATCCATTAACAAACTGATTTATGCTTTATTCATACATGATTGAGACAAAAAATGTGATACCACAGTTCAGTCCACTTTAAATGGCCAAACTGAAACTCCTAATGATATTTAGACTAACAGTAATTAATAATAATTTAATACTTAATGAAATACCTGATAACTTCAGAAGCCTTAAAGAAAACATTGCAAGTTCAAGACTAATAAAGACCTCTTACTAAATGTTAAGTGTAAATCACAGCTAATGCAAGGAAGAAACTGCTTTCCTTAAAACTTTAGGGCATTTGTGGCTCAGAGAAATGTTTAAATCTGGTGACCATTCCGAGTCACTTTCAGGCATTATCTGAAAAGAAAACTTATACTTAAAGCCAATCAACTAGTCATGTTTTCAAAAATGACCTTCTTCAAAACATAAACTGGAAGTTTAAAAAAAAAAAGCTGTCCATAAAGATGTCAAATTAATGAAAATATATGAATTTTCTCACTGCCATAATACAAGATCTTTAGAATATTTTGACTATTCATTCTCAAAGATTGTAATCAAAATGTTATTTGCAGTAGTTTAAGCTATAAAATATTTACAGACAGCATATATGCTATATTGGAACATCTGTTTATACAGTTGATGTAATTCGATAAAAAACTTCCCTGCCTCTCAATGTAATCTTGTAATGGGCAGCATTGCTACTTGACTGCATCTATTCATCTTCTATCCTGTTTTAATAACACAAGTGTCACCTAAGAAATTATTCTTTGATCTTTCAATAAACTAAGCCTCTGCAGAAAGAGGAAGGTGGAAGAGGTTAAATTGGCATTGATTATTTAAGACACATTCATCATTTATTTAACAATCTCCCTCATCACAAAAACTATTGTGTTTATAGGCCTGTGCTGAAACACTCTTAATTAATTTTTTTTTTAAGTCTTGCCATGTGCATTAGAAGTCAGAGCACATTGTAAACTAACATTAGTTTCATGTCTCCTGACAAATCTGGTGCAGAATAGTAGCTTGTTGTACAAATCTTTAAACTTATTCAAGGCAGTGAATTTTTAATAGATTTTATTATAATTAATGTTTTCTGGGGATTCTTTCTTATCTTAAGCGAAATGTGTACCAACAGTTCTTTTCCCAAGGAAATTATATTAATGATGACATACAGTATCATATTCTGATATTCATACCAATAAAACATGATCCACAATGATCTGTAAAAAACAATTGGTGCTAATGTTGGCAGCTTTAAGAAGAAAATGAGTATAAGAAACATACATAATGTCTGAGATTTCTATGAGATATTTACAATAAACACAATTTGAAAATTATAAATAGATATATGTGTGTATAGAATATTTTTGAAAGTTAAAATAAGGTGAAACTATTTCCTTATGGGGAAAAAGAAAAAAATACTATAAATTGAAGAATAATGATTCTTGTTGCATATAAAATGTTAAAAAATATTTACAAATAAATATTGAAAAATATAGAAAATATGTCCTGGTCATGGAATAAATTGTAGTACTTATGAATCATATATTTCCAGTTATGTAATTCCTCATACTTAAAGCATTTGCTTATTTTTGATTTGTTTATTTAAGTATTTCCATCCACAGTTTTTCACATGCAAAATGCCATAAAGTATAGCATTACAGTTACATGTAGTTGCTTTAATAAGTTTGTATATGCATATTTTAGAAATTTAATTTGCTCATACAAAGCAGATTCTTTAAGGACTCACTGTCAAAAAAGTATTATTCTATAACCTTAATTAAATACAGTAAAATACATTAAACTATCACTGTAACATATGAAACAAGCTAGAAACAATTAAGATTTAATGAAGATTAACCATTATCATGCCTTCATTTTAAATTTTTATTTACATGTTTAGAGAACTAAATGGTATTGATGTAAGAAATATTGTAGAAATAAGAAAATTATGAGGCATGGATAGGCAAATACATAATAGGCTGCTGGTAACTACTGTGTTAGAATAACTGTCCACATATTAGTCATTCCCCAGAGGTGTCATTCATTGCTCAGCAACCCATTCTCACAAGTAGTCTCTAACAGTGTCACATAAAATTGATGGTGTTACATAAAAGTCTTACATTTTATATTTATATTGTCACTTTAAAAGTTCAAATTCAGTCTCCCATTGTTTCTTTAAATTGAATAAAATTGAAAATTAGAATCCAAGTGCATATTTGTTTTCCCTTTTCTGAACACATTATTTTAAATTAAAGACTAGAATCCCCACAAAGGCCATGTGTAGTAAAAAATGGACTTCATTTTTCTAAATTCAGTTGACTTATTTAAAAATTGGGGGCTTTGAAGTAAGTGGATTCTAGTTCAACTTGTAGTCCCTGTGTTGTATGATGTTTTATTGTAAAAACATTTAACGAAAATTATTTTTATTACTCATATTGAACAAACTCTCTGGCTTGCAGATTTATATATACACAGATTATTTATAAAATACATATTGGATTTATATCCTAAGTACTAGCATATAAATATTTTGTATTAAAAAAAATTAGGAGGGGGTGGTGGCTCTCTGTAATCCCAGAACTTTAGGAGGTCAAGGCACACAGATCATTTGAGGTTAGGACTAGCCTTACCAACATGGTGAAACCCAGTCTCTATTAAAAATATAAACACTAGCTAGCTGGCCATGGTGGCAGATGCTTGTCATCCCAGCTACTTGGGATCCTGAGGCAGGAGAATCGCTTGAACCCTGGAGGCAGTGGTTACAGTGAAGCGATATCATGTCACTGCACTCAGCCTGGGCAAGAGTGAGACTCCATATCAAGTAACAACAACAACAACAACAAACTTTTAGACAGGAAAAAAATCCCCTAAAAAAGACAAATATTGAATCACTTGTGGTAAATCCTCTTTAAGTACCATAAAAATTATTTAAAAAAAAATAGATATCAATGTAAGTTAAATAATGTACAACACTGCTAGAAGCATTTTAGTCACAAAACTGAGATCTAGAATTTAGATATATAGAATAAACATATCTTTAAAATAAATGTAATAGAAATAATTTTTAATTCACAGTGTTTAGTGTTCTTTTAATTAAAAAATTAGGTATATAAACATTTGAAATCAACTTGTGCAGTAATTCAAAGCTTTGGTTTACTTCCTACAAGAGAACAGTAGTTTTATATCAATGTACTAATGTAGTTTGCAAGGCAACACAAAAGCAGCATCCATGTCTGTTATGTAACATAAAACCACGTAGATAAACATATAATTTATCATTATCCATTATCATAAAACTTAAAATTATCTCTATTTTATTTTTAGTTATCAGCAAAGTGCTAAGAATAATAATAAATGTTTTTAAATAGAAGAGGGGGTCCTCATATATGTTAGCTACAATGTGAAATTAGGTCCTTTATTTTTTCATCAAGGGGAAGTTTAAAAGTCATGAACTTAGGCAAAATGCAAATTTCTTGGCTATGTTTAAGAAAAAGATGGGTATTTATATAAATGTTTTCCCAAATCACCCTTTTTACTAGATGCAATATTGTATTAAAACATATTTTACAATCCTATTTTGACAGTTCAACAAGTAATTTTCTCTAACAGAAAAATACTAACTTTCAATAAAATTACTTTCTGCTGAAGTCCAAAAGCTAAAACATTATTTTAAATTTTTCTTCAAAGTTGTTTTTGCTTTTAAGTGTCTGCATATAAAAATGATGTGCTTCACCTTTGGTAATTACAAACCTAGTAACTTTATTAAACTATGAATAAATTAATACTTTCTTAAAAATAAATTGCCCTAATTTTCTAATTCACTAATTCGCAAAACTACATCAAAACTGCTGCTTTTTAAAAAATAATAAGACATTGTTATGCTAGTTGGTGCCTGTAATTATCTTTTTTAGTTCCAGAAGGTATTTAGGATTGTTTAAGAGTAAAAGGTGAATGGTGCACTGCTAAATCCGATTACATCAATGTATGGCCACAGAAGCTGCAGAGGTAAATAAGCTGTGGAGGTCTGAATACCAATTATGAAGATAAAAATGGTTTTATAAAGCTACTTACATCATAGCCTAGTTGTTCAGTCTGTGTGGATTTATCTACTCTTGAAGCAAAAGCCTTCTGTAAATGCCGGAATTTTCCCTGCAAAATGAAAACAAAAACAAAAACAAAAACAAAAACACATTGTTGGTGAGGTGTGTACTTCTATACCAATATTCTCCACTTATTAAAATTTGATTAGTGTATAATTCATGTTCTTTTCTGTGTATACACTTTGCTCTGTTAGTGCTCTTAAAATAAGCTTAAATATTTAGAGCTTTAATTTTTAGGTCACAACTGTCCCACCATGGGCACAGTAGAAGAAAACTCTACTATAGGCATCACTGAGTCAGAACAACAGTTCAGCATCACAGTCACAATGTGCTTAAATCCAAGACCAAATTCTTATGCTTTGTTTCCTGATATCTTTTTTAAATAACTTAATTGCTATTATTTCGCTGATCCAGTTTCAGAGCATTTATATTTGAAATAAAATTATTCTCAATAAATGACCCAATGGATTCTATTTACTTTGTTTTAATTTTATTATGCTTCTTCTTTCCAAAAACCTCTACACATTTAGGAATGTCTACTTTAAGGGACTGATACTAATTCAACACCAAGATAATCAGGGAAGGGAAGTAATATATGAAGGGGGTTGGGATTTCATATTTCAAATGTGAAAGTATGATTTCTGAGTAAACTAATTTGACTGCTTCTTGCTGAAACCTTCCCTTCTCATTCCTAAGTATGTCACTGAAAATGAGATCTTGAGTTTAATTATTATGTAATGATTTACTAAGTGCCTCACACAGATGAGAGTGTTTACTCACATGGTCACATTTTATCTTCAAATATTTAATATAAACACCATTCATGTTAAATAAAAACAATACAGTTTAGGAAGTTTAAGTAACTTGAGACAGTTTTCAAATACATTCATATGATTTTACTAGATTGTGTTTTCCACTTGTTTTAATTATTATGTAATGATTTACTATGTTTTAAAGCAAATATATATATAATTTTCTTTTCTTTTCAATGTTTAATAAAATAAAAGACTGTGATTTAATTCCTCCTTTTCCAGGATTGACAATGGTTATCCAGAACCTCATAAGAATTCCAGTTACACAAAACTCCTCCAATCCTCAGCTCCCTTCCTTTCCTGTTCCTTCCCCTTCCCTCTTCTCTTTTTCCCCTTCCTCCCTATTCCTTCATTGCTGGTTGATATTTGCAAGACTATCTGAGATGTTTAAAGAAGTATGTACATAATTTATCTAAATATAATTTAGTTTAACTTACTGAAATACAGAAAAGAAATATTTTATGTTCCATTAATGTCTCATCACTTCTGCTTCCCTAATCGCAAAACATCTAGTGCTGCTAGCCAGCGAAAAATTAAATGTAGATTAGACCATGTAGGAAGATGCTACGTGAGTAAGGTAAAAGGTTTTAATTATTTGAAAAAGATAAGTAAAAATGTGGCCCCATTTTCTAAACTAAATTTCAAATGAGAAAAAACAAATTGTATTTATTTAGATACAGTGATTGGGATGAAGAAAACAGGGGGAGGTAGTAATAGGTAAAGGAGCAATAACACTGTCCATCATTGAAAGTTTGTTTAGGAAAGTTTGATTAGCTACTTTTGAGATAGATTGGAATCATAAGTATGTGAAAAGTAAATTTTTTTGTAAATCTGTAATTATATAAACTTTTGTGTATAGAGTCTATGCACTAATGTAGAGAGCAGTCGAAAACAGCTACAAAATGCTTCCATTATGCCACAGCTCATTTATATGTCAAGGCTTTCATCCTGTGGATAGGAGTTGGAAAATGTTGGTAACTTCTGGATTACTGGTCTGAGTTATAAGACTTAAGAAATTCAAATAACAATAAATAAAATTCAAACAACTTTATTAACCAATAGTATAATCAAAACAATAATAAACAAATAAAAACTTTAAATAAAGAACAGTTATATTTGAAAATCAAAAAAAAAAAACAGACATTTCTGGTGAATGTCATTGTCACTCCCTCTTGCAAGCATTAGTCACAACAACTCGTGTATTTGAATTATTTATTATGGTATTATGTATGTACATGTGTGTCATATTCAAATGCAAAGAATAAAATCTAAGTTTCCTATAGACTTAGGTACAAATAATTAAAAATTAAATATTTTATTTAGTGTAATAAAAGGCAGCAAACATCAAAGTTTATGACAAATGTCTATCACATACAGTTAGAAGACTAAAGAAAGACTACATAGCTTTCAGAATATAATTCTTGTTGGAGATCTTGCATTTCTAAATGGTAGATGGAAACTTATCGACTGATAAATTGAATATGTAATAAAAGAAGTTTTATAGATAGCCAAACAGAAAATGTACCATAAAAGTAGCTATTACTAGAGGGCAGAATTGCAGATAATTTTGATTTCTCATGTAATAAATCTACATACATTAATTTCATTTATATATATATATATATATTTATTACAGATATAGGAAAAAGTATCATCATATTTTCAATTTCACATTGATTTAATGTCGTGATTAAAGTCTTGATTAAAATTATTATCAGTTTATTTCAATTTAGGGAAATTTCACCTTCATGATAGAATTTTATTTGTATTTAATTTTTTATTAAATACATATTGTGTCTATTGCTTAGGGGGCAGGGGTCATGAAGGGAAAAAAAAAATACATTCCATTCTATGAAGAAACTTCCAGTGTGAAAGTCAGAAAAATAAAAGATTATTAGCATTCTACAGGAAAAATACAATTACCACAGAGAGAGCCAGAGATGTATGTATATGGAAAGGGTATTTTGGAGAGGGGACGTACAAAGGAGTTAAATATTTGGAATGCAGAAGCTACTGACATCCCAGCTAAGACCAGAAATATGAATTATTATTAGCCAATTTGAAGTGGAACTGAGTGATACAGAACCTAGGAAAGCAACAGAATTTGCAAATATTTAGAAGTCAGAGAGACCATGACAAAGATATGTATAAACAATTACTACTCCAAAATTGCCTGAGGGGAGCCACTTAAAGGGACAACGTGAAGAATGAGAGTAAAGTGGTAAGTTAATGCCAGAAAGGATAGAATGCTGTGCCCAAAGATTTGAGAGTCAGCTCAATTTTCAAAATATGACTTTATAATTAAAGGTCATAAAATATTTTAACTAAATTATGATGAAACTTATTTAAATATATCCTTCACTTTATATTGTACATAAAAATGGATATACATGTATGTGTACATACAGAGAAAGCAATATGGAGAAGAAAAAGCGTGGAAGTGTGCTGTGCTTTGACCACCAATGAATTTACACTGTGATTTAAAATGGCCCTCTTTCAGTGTTCTCCCAATGTAAGCAGACACAGTAATTCCTTCTTCTATCCTCTCTCAGAGATTTAGTGAAGAATTAAAACCTGCCGGGTGCGGTGGCTCAAGCCTGTAATCCCAGCACTTTGGGAGGATGAGGCAGGTGGATCACGAGGTCAAGAGATCGAGACCATCCTGGTCAACATGGTGAAACCCCGTCTCTACTAAAAATACAAAAAAAAAAAAAAAAAAAAAAAAAAAAAATTAGCTGGGTATGGTGGTGCGTGTCTGTAATCCCAGCTACTCAGGAGGCTGAGGCAGGAGAATTGCCTGAACCCAGGAGGCGGAGGTTGCGGTGAGCCGAGATCGCGCCATTGCACTCCAGCCTGGGTAACAAGAGCGAAACTCTTGTCTCCAAAAAAAAAAAAAGAATTAAAACAATTCAATTTGTGGTAGATAAATTTTATAACTAAATCTAACCTCCTGATAAAATATCTAATTGTCTTTAATCTTCCTTTCCATGCAATGACAAAATGCACCCTTTATTTTTTCACATTTACGATTAATAAAACGTGTGCTTAGACAAAGCAAAAAATGAAGGCTAGCATATTATGTAAAAAAGTAAAACTAAAATGAGATGAAAAAGACAGATTTTTGATTTACATTTATTGCTAAATTTAGGTATAATCTGAGTCCTGCATGTGTGGAGGTTTTGAGTTAAATTATATTGCTATATGAATAAAAATATGTTTTTCCTCTCTAAATTTCCAAGTTATTTCATCTGAGATTAAAAGTAATACAATAACATTTGTATAGGTTGGGCACACTGGCTCATGCCTGTAATCCCAGCACATTGGGAGACCAAGGTGGGCAGATAACGAGGTCAAGAGATTGAGACCATCCTGGCCAACAGGGTGAAACCCCATCTCTACTAAAAATATAAAAATTAGCTGGGCATGGTGGTGCATGCCACCAGTTCTAGCTACTCAGGAAGCTGAGGCAAGAGAATTGCTTGAACCCAGGAGGCAGACGTTGCAGTTGCAGTGAGCCGAGATTGTGCCGTTGCACTCCAACCTGGCAACAGAGCCAGACTCTCTCTCTCAAAAAAAAAAAAAAAAAAAGGTAATATAATAACAGCGTATAATAAAAATCAGCAACATAAATGCATGTATGTAAACCTAATAAAATATATAAACTTATTAAGGGTACTAAATTATACTCACATTCCCTTTCCTTCTGTAAGCTTTACCACTTTAATTATTACTACTAATAATAGATGCCATTAGTAGAATGTATGTTATATGCCAGATACTATATCAAGTAATATATATCTATATGAATCCTCTCCAGAACATATAAAAGCTGTGCTTTTGTTCCTTTTACAAAAAACAGCAAACTGATTCTTTTTAAAAATCAGTTGCTAAATTTCATACAAGAGAGTAATTGGCGTAGCCAAGATGAAAAGTTTTTTTTGTTGGTCTCTAAACCCTAGTATAGTATCTCTGTAAAGATACTGTAACTCTTTTAAAAAGCTTACAAATAGTGTTGCTTCCTCTACATCACATATTCAAGGAAACATATAAAATATGTATTTTTAGACTTGCTGCACAGCTAGTAATTACAAATGAAGATAAAACTATTTTTGATGTCTACTTTGTCTATATTTTCTTGCAGACTCAATACTAAGTCCTTTTTTTTTTCTACCATGGAAACAATTTAAGATTACCAATGTATTTCCTGTAAATGCACAAATCCACAGAACATCTACTA